AAATATATATCATCATAAAACATATATAACAATAAATAACTGGTAAATATAAATTTATAATGAGAAAGAACATCTTGGAGAAAGTTTCAGATATGTATTTCTGTCATTTCTATCTTTTGCTGTGTAATATGATTTGGGAAGGGAGGGAGAAGAGATTCTTTAACACTATTGCATAATTGCTGAGGATTATGCACTTACTCAGTGGAATCAGCGGATCAGTGGAATGTTATCCTCAACTATTCCAAAAAACAAGCTATTTGTTGTGATGACAAGTGATGCTCCAGAGAGAATTTTTCGTATGTACCATTTTTTGTTAAGGAAAGGAGCRAAGTGTTGATGATTTTTGGTGAGAATTCTGTAGTAGGATTCTGTGGAATGGAGTCTCTTCTTTATAGGCAAATAGTATTTCATCTGTTTTTATTTTATGTTATTATTTTTAAATAGAAATCGTCACATTCATTCTGAGCATCAGTGATAACATGGGCAAGAAACTAGAGCAGTTAGTGTGGAGCTTGTCTTCATCCATCTTTGAAAAGATGGGATCAAACAGTATACTATGTGTCATATTACATTAACTTGAGCAAAGACTAAAACTGTATTTACTAAGGCCAAAGAAGCTGTAGTATCTCAGACTGGCAGCTTCCTTTCCTGTGAGTTTCATTATTTTTACAGAAAAGGAGGACCTGGATCAAAACAGAAGTATATGAAAAGTCCTAATGAAGAGATAGTTACTTAAAAATTCAAACAGTGCTTAATCTTACCCTGTGGCAAATAGCCACAGCARTCTTTGTCAGTACATCTGCGCTGGCTTCACCTTTCAGAGTGGAATTTAGCTGGCTCTTGGGGTCAGCCAGCAGATCTGACAGTTGCAGAACTGAGCGTGCAGTTTCATGTGATACAGCCCATTGTCCACCACTGGGAGCAGAGGACTGTGAGTTTGGGCCTTTTTTTCCCCATGATTGGGTGTTTCCTCTCCCATGGTTTTGTATGTGGTAATTATACAATTTTAGCTTGAATTCCCTCAACTACTTCGCTGTTCTAACTGGAAAGTAAAGTCTCTTTTCCAGGTGTAGTAATCTGTTGAATACAATTTCATCTGGTTTGCTAAAAACGAAAGGGAGCAAGTAGGAATGTGCAGTTGAAAGTGAAGGGTCAAGTGGGACTTCACTTCTTGGTGACAGCTCAGGTTTGAAATGGATTGAGATGTACACTTAAATTACATCCATGAATGGCCTTAATAAGAAACTAGCATTTAAACCAAGAAGGACTTAATGCAGAAAATGTGTTCATTTGGCTTAGGAGAGAGCTATAATAAAAAAAAAAAAAAAAAAAAAAAAAGTGTCTAGGGGAAGTGATGGACTCCTTAAAAACATGTCCAGGAGACCAGGAGATGTGAATAGCTTCAACTCAGCCTGGTGTGCGTGCAGCTGCGAGGTGAGGGTGCCCTCCCCGTGGGCTGTGCTGGGACCTGGGTGTCAGGGTGGCTGGAGCTCCGTGTGGCTTCGTGGTCCTGGGCTCTGCACTCTGTGCTTGGCAGCCCCGCGGTCACCCGAGACTGCGGCCCGTGGCCCTGCCCCGCGCATGCTCTCTGTCTGCTGGCTCAGAAACTGCTCTGTGCTGGTGCTCTTAGTGTTATCATGAAGTAAGAGATTTTAGGAGCAAAGATTTAAATGCTTCTACTGAAAGATCGTAGAAAAATGTGAATTTATTTGCAGGGAAGATGCTTGTGAATGAGTGCTTAAACTGTAGTTGTAAAAGTTTAGACTGATGAGGACTGATAACAGTGTATGTAATTTATCCTCCTGTTTTTATTTCACTGTTAAGATTACTTTGATAGAGTTTCCCTCTAGTTCTCTTACATAGCATTCTTGGTAACAATCTTGTGCTGAAGGTGAAATTAAGAGTTATCTACTCACTGCCACACTGGGATAGCAAGCCAACTTTTTTTTGCTAGGGTTCTGGAGTCTAGTATTTGTTAGTTCGAAAGTTAGTTAATACTGCATATTCAAACTCTATCTGCTGAATGTCTGAAATTAGAATATTTTCACTGAGTTAAAGCTAGTTAGGCACTGAAAGTGAAAATTTTCAGCMAACACTTCGAAGTTTTGCATGCCAAATCAGCAAAACCACAGCCCTGGCTAAGGCTGAAAAACTGTCAGGAACAGCTARGAGAAGTCAGAACACCGCATTATTTTTTCTGTCATGTATTTTATAAGAGGAGGAATGATAAAAATAATTCTTGTTCCAGCAGTAACTAGTGAGGATGTTGTAAACCTTGAATACGTGGAACAGAGGGACTGGCATTAAAAAGAAATCTAAAACGTGGATATCAGTCTTTTCTTTTTCCACACTTAAACACTGGGAAAGCTTAAAAGGATTTGATTTAATTATGTCTTTGAAGAAACAGATGTATGGTTGCTGACGGAGTTGGTAGTGGCCCAAAAATAGTGAAGTGGTAAGTAATTTGAATAGGAACTTTACAAAACAATCTGATGGCTTCAGATGGAATTAATTGAAGAATGTGTGTTTTAACATGCTCATAAATCCAGGCACAAAGACTGTGCTTACTTCTCTTAGCAGTTACACATACAGTTTGGATGGGTGTCTTTTGAGGGTGTTTCATTACTCCAGCAAACAAAATGAGATGTCATCTGGCATGAAACAGTAGACAAAAGAAGGCCTCAGAGCTGAGCCTGGCARTCGGGGTTTTATTCATTTGAGACTCCGAGTCCTGAGCTGTGCCTGARAATAACTGCCCAAAGGAGAAGGAAAGTGGGAGCTTCTTGGGGCAAAATAGCAAAATAATTCCTTCCAGTGAGGAAAAAGGTTTGGGCTTCTGTCCCCTCAACTAGAGGAGTTTGAATTTTTCACAAAAATGGCTGTTATGAAGGTGCAAGAACTGGGAGCAAGGGGTCTTGCCTATTCCTGCCTCCTAAACCTAGGCTGACTTAGAAGAGAATGGAAGGCAGCTCGAGGTGGACTGGGTAGGGTGATGAGCATGAGCGATCCTGGTTATGTAGCCTAGAGAAGCTTTCCTTAGGAAGAGAGCTCTCCTTTTCCCACCGTTCCCACTTTTGATGTTACTTATGCATATATAAATACACATATTACAGGCCTAATTACAAAAGGTATATGCAGGACATGGAGCATATAGCAAAATCCTGAGATGTTTCTTCTGCTATCTGAGAGGGCAGTGGGAGTGTTTTGTCACTATGTTATATTGTCAAGATCCTGCTTGGTCACACAAATGCGGAAAATAAAGGCTGCTTGCCTGCTAGTAGCTCCTTCTTCCATCAGAGTCAGAAGAGAGCKCTTGTGCATTCCTGGTTTGGTGTTCTTGGATGGCCATGCTTCCATATGTTCCTTTTTGTGACAAGAATGGATAGTCTTTGGAAATTTAGGAAAAATGTCTGCTTACTTTTCTGTTTTCCTCCTGTACTGTTCGGTCTTCTAAAAGCAACTCAAGTTGGAAGCTTTTACTTACTTTCCTACTCTTTTATTGCTGTCTGATACAATTTTCTTTTTTGTATGTGGAAAAATTCTACCGACTATTTTGTGATTAAAATGATGAAGCAGGACAGATGCTGTGTTCAGTTGCAGACAAAATAGTGCAATGCTATGATACGTGTTACCGGGCTGTGAATGCTGACTGGAAGTTATGTGTGTGGGTGCTTCTCATTTTCCATGCAAATTAGAAATACCAATTTTAATAAACAGAAAAAAAAAGAATATTGGTTGGAAGCAGCTAGAAAATACTAATGTTTTGAGCAAAGGATAAAAATTAATTCAGTGCTGCCCTATACTCAATACCAGATACYGTTCCACACTCTGAACAATACTACTGTAAGTAAATACAGCTTCATGTTGAGCTGAGCTTAAGAGTCAGCGTGCAGTTGTATGGAGAAGTTGGAACCTTTAGAACCTTCAGAACTAGAAAATTTGGGATGATAGTAAACCCCCCAAAGGTGTGTGTTAGGACCATAGGCCTTTATGTTATWGGATATATTGGCACACAGGAAAAGAGTTTGGATCTGTCTAATATTCTTACTGATCACATACAAGTAAGACAACTTGGATGAGGGGAAAGGACAATTTTTTAATGTGTAAAGAAGGTCTTTTGACTTTCATAGTAGACCCCTAATCTGTGATGTTACTCATGTAATAGAATTACCTAGAGTCAGTGCATTATTCAGTTTTGTTAGTTCTAGGGCTGTTTATACTTAATTTAGCCTACAGCAGAATAAGGGCAATTTTTACCCATGCCGTAAACTATCCTCCGGGCCAACACACTGACAACTTTCAACGTCTAAAGATTCAAAGAGGGCCTCAAATGATCAAATTTCTTTCTGAATCCRTGTTTCCCTCCTCGTATCAGAGTTCAGACAAATAGAAACTTCTTCTTAATTTTGTTAATATGATGGTAACTGGTGATTATGTCAGTTGAAGGACTGAGAATGGGACTGATATAGATTTAAAAGTAAAGAAAAAAAAAAGTCACATTTTTACCAGGAAAATTTAAGAGAGCTGCTAGAGGTGGTAGGAAGAAAACTGCTTGCTGCATGAAGAATACAGGGACTAGTGAAATGAGGATGGCTTCTCTAAAAAGAAATTTTTAGAGTCTTACATGATGATAATGTGTCCATAAATACTCATTTATTCATATGTTTTTTTTCCCTTCCATAACTTGTATGTGTTGACTGTGTGAATCTAAGACATTTAAAGAAATAGTCTGTTTTTCTGTTTGTGTGTTACCATTTGTTAGGAGTATTATTTTATATGAATTCTCCATGGAAAAACTTAAAGATAGTACAGCTCACCTTAACTTTGAATAAAATAAAACGAAATTCATGTGTTAAGTAACTTTTTTCCTGTAATAGTCTAAACAGTTAAAATAGTCCATGGAAAAGAAGGTGTAGAAATTATTTGTGCTATAATTGAAATGTGCTTTGAGCTTCTAGAAATTAAATTACAAAATTAAATACAATTGTAACTTTTTGTAGGTTGGGCTCATGTGGTTTGTGCTCTATACATTCCCGAGGTGCAGTTTGCAAATGTTTCTACAATGGAGCCTATCGTGTTGCAGTCTGTTCCTCATGATCGTTATAATAAGGTATAATTATGTGTGTTTGTTCGTATATAACTTATTTATTTTAAAATTTGCAAACTCTAATAATGTAAAACTATGCTTTTTAGAATGCCTTTTACATAAAATTCTTAAATGCTTACTGTAATGCTCTGTTTTCTGTTATGTCTTTATGGTAAATTCAAGAATTAAGGCAATGTTCAGTTCAGCTTTCAAGTTATTTGCAATGCCTTACTATTTTTTTTTCCTTCTTTAGGCAAACAAGGCATTGTCTTGTTAATTAAAATATATCATGATCTTTGAACATTGGTATATTTTGAAAAGAATGTGAAATATATCACAGAATTTAGGAGGAAGAGCTGGCAGAGGACTTTCCATCTCTTATAATAGCAGCCAGYGCTGTGTTTTGTTCTGCTCTGGTTAAACTAGCACTAGTTCCCAAGCTGGCTGCCCTGACCTGCATGTCGGCACATGATGTAGCTTCTGCAGCAGGTCCCCAAAATGTTACTGGCCACAAGTKGGAATGTACCCAGAAATGAAATGAGTCAACTGTTCTGATAGATAATTGCTTCTAATTTGTATTAATTAAGAAGAGTCAATGAATTCACAAAAAGATCAACTGTAATTTCTAAATTAGCCTTTTTCCCCACTAACAAATGACAGGGGTTTTCCACATGCCTTGTTTTCCCTTCTGTCTTTGATTCAAAGTTTGAATCTTTGAAGGAAAAATATTAACAGATGAGCAAAGACAGTTTTGCAAACCAGGTGCATTAAAAGAAACCTGCGCATTTATCATGTTCTTTGAATAGAATTTTCCGGTTGAAAAACTTTATCTAATCCTGTATTTTCCACCAAATTTGGAAGAAGATTAAGTGGTCTCCTCCCTGAGGAGTACAGAGAAGCGGTGCTGCGGCAGCTGTGGGGTGCAGAACCAGTTCACACGTTGAAATGCCCCAAGGCTCTGGGGAGTGCAGCAGTCTGAGGGGCTTGCAAATATTTGACTGTCTGAAGTCTTCTGCTGTATTAAAAGATGGAGCTGCTTAAGYTTCTGTTGAATGTTTGTATGTCTAAGTGAAAGCAGAGTATTRATGAAGTTCAACTTCAGAGAGAACTTAAAGCCTGCTTCAGAACAGAAGGGTGACATTTTCCCTGTCCCGGTTTTCCTGTTTAGGATTAGGAAACAAGTCTTAATTCTCATGACTAGTACAGGAAGGACAGAAGTTCTCTGAGCTGGTTTAATTGTAGGGTAGTCGACAATGTTGACTTTAAACTTTTTCGTAACGCAGCCAGTCTGTTCTATCACTTTACAATAAAGTTTTATCATAAATCTCTTTAAGGGCTTTTGAAACATGGATCCTAAAAGCAGGATATAGAGTTGAGCCTATATCCTTGTAAAATGATATGCTTATATCACTTATCTTTATGAGTTACAGTGAAGAAAAAAAGTAATGGAAAAACTCTGTTTTGAGTAASAGAACAGCACTGGCGCTTGTGTTTTATGGGGTTTGTTTAACTTCATCTGTTTGTAGAGAAACCTTTTGACGTTGCACTTAATGCAGTAGCTCCGGTGAGGTTAATAGGAACAAACAAGATCATGATCTAAACCCTAAGTGTGTCACGTCGCTGAATGGAAACCAAAAAGTAGCTGGTCTTAGAATCTGTCAAAAAACAGATTTGTCCTTACATGCCACCTCGCTGTGCCAAAGGAGCGAGGCTAGAGCTGAGCGGGGCTGGAGGCCTCGCGGAGCCTTCGGGCGGGCGGCGCTGGGCCCGCGTGGTGACCGTAGTGCCCTTGTTAGCTCCAGCACGCTGGCCCCGACCCTAAACGCTGCCCGCAGCACTGCTGCAAAAAGCCCCTCTGATGTATCAGAAGCTGGCAACTGCATGTCTAAGGAAAAATAGTTTTGTTTCGTATTCTTTTCARATTTAATTTTTCATATTTTACTAATGTTTTTCTTAAACGGTGCTTAAACTTGTTTAGGAAACGGTATGAACTAGTGTTTTCTGCCACCAGTTATCAATGTTCTTTTTATTTATTAATCATTCTGCTTCTCTTTACATTCTTAGAAAAGGCTGCCATCCAATAGCAGCGTGTCTGCTACAGGGTAAATGTAGATGATTTTGAAAAACAGAAGAATTAATAAAAGTTGTTTCTTTTTGCCTTCCCACCTAAGACCTTCTAATAGGCTTTCCACCCAGTAGTGTTCTGTTGATAGTTTTCGTGTTAATAAGCATTTGTCTTATTAAAAGTAGATAATTGACTACAAATCTACAAAGGATATTTTCATTAAGAATCAATTGTTAAATTGTTCCATTTTGCTTGTGACATACATTGCAAATAGTATTATAAATATGGTGTGACAGCATCTATCATTTCAAAAGTCAGAACAGGATAAAATGGAAAGAGATGTAGTTTTACTTGATATTTTTTCACCAAAATCTTTGTTGAAGGGATGTCTATTTTAACATATTCTGGACAATTAGTTTTTGTTTTAATTTATTAAATTTTGAGTTTGAAGTGGGTTTAGTGTATACCTAAACACAAATTTGAAGTTGGGAGAGGCCTGAAGCCTGATGTTACCAGCCCTTGGCTGTTTGACCACTTGGACTAGCTGAATAATGTTGTAGAAGTGAAATAAATGAATATTTGTACTGCATTTGTAAAAGGAGATCATCTAACAGACCATCTAGGTAGGCTCTCCATAAAGCTTTTATCAACCTTAATGCAGTACAAATATTAATTTATGTAATAAATGTAACCAATTTTAAAAACTGATTTCTTATATAACCTTAGCTGCAAAATCCACCAGTTCCTATGCTAGAAAATCTCCTGTGAGCAACACAGAATTCATTTGTATGCTTTTTGTCATGTTAAGTATTTTCTCTTTAATAGACGTGCTATATTTGTGATGAGCAAGGCAGAGAAAGTAAAGCAGCCACTGGTGCTTGCATGACATGCAACAAACATGGGTGTCGACAAGCTTTTCATGTAACATGGTAAGTATATATTATTGTTTTAAAATCTCTGAAATCATTTTCAAAAAGGAACAGCTGCACGTGGTATTTCTGAGGCATCTGTAGTCAAGTGGCTGTTTTGCAGCTTGTTAGAATATTCAGCATAATGGAATTTACTACAATATGATCATAGGAGCATAGACATAGCTGTGAGCTGCAGAAGCTATCAGAGAATATTCCCTTATGTTGTATTAGCTGCTTTGAGGTCCTGTGAAYATGCCCGGACAGGAGCAGCGGTAGAGTTACGAACTGAAAGATAGCTGAGAGCCCATACAAGATTTATCGCTCTTACCTATGTTCCTTCTGCTTGGCAATGTTTTATATAAATGCAGTATTAAGAAGAAGCTGCTTGTTTACCTGCTGTTTGATGGTAGTAAATCAGTTAAAAAAAAAAAAAAAAAAAAAAAAAAAAAAAAAAAAGTCAATTTGGGAATCAGGAAACTTACTGAGAAGTACATGAAAACCCAATCAAGATATCCCCCAAAATTTCTGAATCTACCAGGAGGGGTGAGTTGCCTCACTAGCTTTATCTAAATGCTGCCTTTATAACCTCAGCTATAAACTTAGTTTTCATCTACACCTGCTGGGTCAAAATAGGCCATGTCCACCGTCTGATCCATTATACCGTGAGACTTGGGTGTACTTGCAGTCAGGAGATGCCTGTCCCACTTTATGAGCTTAAGCCCGGGTGGTTACATTAAATTGCATGTCTAGCAGGCAGAAGGACTCCCATCCCCACATTTCTTGGGAATTGTGTATTCTTTCAGATTCAGGGGAAGTCTTTTTGTTTCTTTGTTTTGTTTTATACAACTATCTGGTTTCATGATCTCTGCTTTTATCCATCTGCTTAATGAGTACCGCAGCATGCTTATCATTTGTCTGTACACCAGTCCAGTTAGGGAAAACATACCTGTTCATCTACCTAAATGTATTTTCTTCAGGGTAATCAAATGATATTTTGAATATCATGTACAGATCTTAAAGGATTTGATTCTTCAGACTTGATGCTGATTTCTTTGTGCCTCTGCATGTCCTCATTTGCAGAGTCAGGGCCTCTCTGTGCAGGGGTGTGTGTATTTACCCACACACATGCACCCAGATATGTGACAGGATCTTGGAATTTTATTTTTTCGTAAACATCTTGTTTTTCATTGGAAATGATTGATGTCAGGCTTCATTTTATAGTAAAAATGGATTTGCTTGAGAGCTTATACATTATGTAAAGAGGCCATTTATGGCTATTTATGGTGATGAAACTGTACCATGGTGTTCATCTCAGTATTCTAAATTAGAAAGTTTTTTCATCTCATGTCTTTCATTTAAAAAAATAAACAAACAAACACAACCTTAGGGGCTGTCATAAGGAACACGAGACGAAATTCAAAATGAAAATACATATGCTATTTCTAATTTTATCAATTGTTAYATTTTGGTTTGCTATGAAAAAGGATGTGATAGAAAATAATACCCAGCCAGAGAGTACTGTGACTAAGGATAGTGAGAAGCTTCAGCAGTATTGGTAAAACAGAGGGAATATGTGAAAGTGAGGGGAAAAATGGAAATGTGGCATGAGGTGTATCAGTTGGGACTTAACAAATCTGGTCTAGCAAGAACAACCTTGAGTCTATCTTTCTGTTTTTGTATGTCAAACTTAGAATGGTAAATCTTTGCTCAAAGAGATCGTGTTAAATGTTTTTGTAGTTGGCATCTGTTGTAATGAGCATGTGCTCAGGAGAAAGTATTTATGGATTGCCTAAGGACATAGTGTGTAAATGAGAGGAAAGCATTTTTTTGAAAAAGCAAGTTAAATAAGCTGATGTGTACGTGTATTTTTTTAACTTAAATATTTGTTTGCAACATTTTGACTGTTACATTGCATTATTGTGCTAATGAAAGTGATGTACAAAATAAGCCTGAAYGGTTGGGTTTTCCGCAGTGTCCAAGGTCAATAAAGAAATTTCTCCAAGATTTCAATATAGGAAATAAACTTCTACAAACGCTGAAAAGCAAATTTGACTTTAAAAGATGTAGAGAAAATATGATAGTATTAGCCCAGACAAGGAAACTTGCAAGTTTTGTTCTTTCCTAAAGGAAATAACCCGCCACAGTCTGTGCTTAAACCAGTACAACTTGGTTTTGTATAACATGTAAAAATTCAAGGTTTGGTTCAGAAAAAATAAATCTGACTCGAGTTTGATCTAAGATGCATGACAAGTTGCCTGATTTGATTTATTTGTGAGACTGGTTGCAGAGTCAAAGGAGACTTTTAAGCCGTACTTGTGCGTACGGGGCTTACAGGCCTGGTACCCTTTCCATAGCCTAAGTATGAACCATTTRTATGTTTCATTTGGCTATAAAAGGGTTAATTAGGTGCTCACATATCTCTAAGTTGCTYGTGCCTTTGGACATTTATTAGAGGTGCAAGTATCTATATAGAATTAGGTGTGATGTTTTGGTGTGAGTGGATGTAAAAATGATTTTCTTGGATGTTTTTTGGTTTGTTTTAGTGCCCAGTTTGCAGGACTTCTTTGTGAAGAGGAAGGCAATGGGGCAGATAACGTCCAATACTGTGGCTACTGTAAATATCATTTTAGTAAACTGGTAAGTATTTGTTAACTTCCGTACTTAAATTGCACTAATGATATTTCATTGAAACAACACCTTCATCACGATTATAGCTAAAATACTAGCTAAAAATGTAGTCTGTTTTTATAAGTGGTTATGTCCTGAATGTGTGATTCTTCCCCCTGCCAGAAGTAGCACATGTTGAGGCCTTTTCAAAGTTAGCCTTTAAAATCACTGAATTGCTGAAATATTTTCTTTAGCAATTTGAGTAGTTGACTTCTAGGAATTTAGAATGTTTTGGAACAATGCAGATGTRTTTCTTTTGATATACTATGTAACAGAGAATAAAAAAATCCTCTCTCTCCCTTTTTACTCTTCTTTCCTTTGTTGCTCCTCCTCTGTGTAGCTAGTGGCTGTTTCCTACCGCTAAGTTCTCTGAACCACAACCGTGAGGAAATGGCTTGGGGTTTGATGCAAGAACCTTCAAAAATTCTTAGTTATTTCTGTAGGTTTTTGAATCAGACCTCTTGAGTGTTGCATATCACTGTGTCACGGAATGAGTTAACTGAATGTGTGTGTGTGTGTGTGTGTGTGTGTGTGTGTGTGCTTATATGTGTTTGCATTGAGATGTGTGGACATGAGGGACTTTTAAATCTATTGGAAGTTTGCTTAAACTTGCTTAAACTTGTTTTCACTGCTTAAAAAAAAAAAAAAAACTTACTGTGATGAGGCTCATCCTCAGTAAGTTGTGATGAGGATGAGCCAGGGCGGATGAAGCRTTTTAGCTCTCTAGGAGGTAAGCTTGGTGGGGTTTGCTCTGTCCTCCTGTGAATATTGATATATTTACTTCATGATAAATTGTTGCCCATACTTAGCTGCAGTTTTTATCTTGATCTAGAGCAACACTGGTGCATTAGCTAGCAGTGAAGGCAAGCACTGTTTAGTCTGAATGCACCAGTGCAGCTATGACTTGAGAACCTGCATGTTTGCTTAAAAAGCAAGGTTAGTGATATAGAAATAGCTTCAGATTTGACATGTAAATAAATAGCTTCCCCTTATAAAACTGCAGTGCTTAGAATAGCAAAGACAGGCAATATCATGCTAGCTTGCTGCTGTTTCTTAGGGATACCATGACTATCAGTACTTAGTAAATGCAGATACTCAGTATTTATTACTGAAGATAATGGGTGGAGTGTAGCTATTRTATCACTAAAAACTTGAGTTGATTAGAACTCAAGTGTTTTACATGAAAAATATTGCAGGCAAGCCACTTGACTAATAAACCCCAGAGCCATGTCAGACTTTCTCAAAATGCCCTTGAAACATATGAGGGTCTTTGCACTGTGGATATTTATTTGAGCATTGTGCTTTCTCCCATGTCCTGAAAACTTGGAAGTGCACTTAAGCGCATTTTAACTTCTTAAAAGGTGGCATATCTCATTTTTGTGGAAGGCACATTTTGCAAATCCATGAGTTGGTTAAAAAAAGAAAAAATCAGTATAAAGGTAGGCTTTTTATTTTGCCTTGGTATGCATTGGGTAGTTTGGTTAACTTTATTAGCGTCAGTTATTTGTCAGCTTTTCAGTTACTGGATTTTTTTCCCCTTCAARCAGTAAGGCATTTTATCATTTGAAATGCTTTATATATTCTATTTATTCAAATGATTCTTTTTCTATATCCATAAATATATTTTCTCTTTTTAGAAAAAGAGCAAACGGGGATCTAATAGGTCATATGATCAAAGTTTAAGTGATTCTTCCTCTCACTCTCAGGATAAACATCATGAGAAGGAGAAAAAAGTAAGTGGATTTGTCGTTGCTAATTACGTGGCACATCTGCTTAATAGTAGCACTTTTTGATAATCACTTAGTTCTTGCAGAGAAGTGTGAAGGAAATCTCATACTTGAAGCACTGAAAAATAAATAAGACAGGTGATAAACTAGAGATATTAGTGTCCAATGAGAACCTCTTCAGATGCATTTGTACGTGCACCTCTTCTGCCCATTTCTTTATCTTTAGTTTTGGGATATAGACAAACAGATCTATGGGATAGCTGTTACCCCATACGACTTTCTCAGTCTTAGTTTCCCATCAGTGAATTTTTGTCTTCGAGGAAGAAAAAAAATGGAARAACTTATTAGAAAACGTTTTCATGATCAGGTGCATCTTACCTGTGCTTCAATGTGCTCTCTCCTCTTTCTCATCAGAGAACTATCATTGCTTGCTGTATTTTAGTGGTATTGATGGTCGATAGCACTGCACTGGCAGAACAGCTTGCGAGTCTTTCAGGCTTTTTGGCTTATTCTTTCAGCACTTATATGCTTTTAAAWAGGAAATTGAATTATTATTTTCCATTTTTTGCATTGCCAGATTTGTAGTTGTTTGTGGGGAATTTTGACTGCTGAATACGTCACAGTGAGAAAACAAACAGTGGCACAATAATTCAGATTTTCTCAGGTTCCTTTTTAGCCTCCTTTATAAGAATACACATGAAAGTGTTACCATCCTGTGTGATTTGTTTATTCTGGGGACGTGGGTGGACCTTGTTCTGACTGATACAAAAGCATAATGAAATTGAACAACATATTGACCAAATACATGATAGAACAGACCTATTTATAATGGAGGGGAATTTATTACAAATGGGAGCCTCAGGCCAGCACACTGCCCAACAGCAAATTTGTTCTTAAGCTGCCTGCCATTCTGTGTGAATGCTGCACTTTGCTTTCGGGTAACCTGCTATAAAGTGTCTTGAGATTTTGCTTCTGAGATAGGTGAATAGTTCCCTAAAAACCTCCCCTCTACACCTGGTACCTCGGGAGCTTGTGCTTTGTGATGCAGTTCTGCTGCTGTGTTTATATTTATAACTCAAAATGGCAAGAGAGTTGGATTTTGACCTTTTTTTTTTCCTTAATAACATGGAAACAAAGTCTTGAAATTCTTATCTACAAGTTAAAATCGTGCTGGTTTGCCTTGATATAATGCCTTGTTATTACTGGTTTGTCAGAATACATGCACTGAGTTTAACTTGATTAAAATACATGCACTGAGTTTAACTCAGAAACTTGATGCTTATGAATGGCGAGTGCTAAGGGCAGTTTTGGCCTAGTGTCTCTGAGCTATACAAAGCCCTCTTTTTTAAAACAAACAAAAAGCCACCACTGGTGGTATTAACCTGTTTCAGATCGTAGTACCCATAAAAACTTCAGGGAATACTTGGAGGAATGCACTCCTACAGAGTGTGCTCAGTCAGTATATGCAGTGTTTTTCCCTGATGGCTGCTCAGCTTCTCCCAGTCTGGAAGTGTCTTGATGTGGATCTTGCCAACCTGGTTAGTGTTGCTGCCCTCACCTGCAACCCTGGGCCTTTTGGCTGTGACTCGGAGAGGTTTTTTTGTTAGAAATAGGATGTAAAAACTACTCCTACCTTTCATGAGCTGGAACATGGGAAACCCAAATATCTCGTTAGTGACACAAAACGAAGCAATGGCATTTGAGGGAATTACCTATGTTGCTTGGCTTTGAGAGATCCTCATGGTACGTTACAGCACATTCACTTACCAAGTTTAATTGGATTTGGATACTGTATAATTATGAAGCTACGTGCTGGTTGAGACTACAATGTGTGCAATTTTCTGAAGTTATTAATAACTTAAATCTTCCTCGCTACAGATTGTTCGAAGTTTCTCTCTTTCATGTCCTATAATTAAAGAATGGTCTGTGCTCTGCAAGATACTGGTCCAGTCAGTAAACCATGTGTGGTGTGGGTGCTCCTTCTTTTGTGCAAGTTGATTTCCTTCTGCCGAGGATRGCTCGTTGGATGTGTTGTGCAGCTCGTGTTCTGTTCCTGCTTGTCTTTTCYCTTTGTGATTTGGCTCTTGTGAAACCTCGGGAAAATACAGACTGCTGCTATTAAAGGACATAGTCCCAGAGGAAAAAGGAGCCAAATGGTTTTTGAATTGCTGAAGAGAGTTGGTAAAGTAAGAAAAAGTAGGCTCATGGCTGCTACCACCCACCTTTCTGTTTTTAAAAGTATTTTTACTATTACAAACAGAAGGGAACATTCCTTTGTTGAAAAGCTACTAAAATGGATTATAAAATACAAAACTGAGAGACAAATGGCAGTAATCCTTCAAGAGGTCTCTTAGTCTTCAATGTGCAGGATTTAGAGGATTGGTCTGATTGTGTTGTTCAGTGTAGGCAGAAAAGTGTTCTGCTCCTAGACTGTGAATGCTATTCAGTGGTCAGTAAGGCAATTTCATGCTATTTTTTGTTTGTTTGTACTAGACAACAAAACTTAGATGAATAACACAGGAATTTACATGTTTTTCTGCTCCTGACTTCTATTGGCAAGTGAATGTGCTTGGTTTTACAAGTAAGATGATGATGATTAATTTCTTTATCCTCCCAGATGAGTGCTTGGCACTATTCTGGCTTTGAGATTGCCAGTAAACAGAAACTCTGTGCTTAAAAATCTTATCTTTTTGTTGGTTTTAGCACCTTTCATATAGTTGTGGTTGTAAAATAGTTTTTATCTCTGTTAATACCCACAAACCAGGAGCAGGTTTTCTTACGTAAGATTGACAATAGTCTTTCTCTGTTACATAACAGAAAACATTTTTTAAAACACTTTTTAAAAATTGAATACACAAACCAAAATTTCTGGTTACACGTTTCATTCTAGATAGTAAAACTTTATGTCGTGTTGTTAGATATCTGTGAGATTTGGATGCCCCCCACTTGTCACGAATTTCATTTCTAAACTTGTCACGAATTTCATTTTTGTTGCAATTAACGATCAGTAATGAGCTGCCTACATTAAGCCCTCTATATTTGTCTTAAGCAGGCTTGATACTTGAAATGAACTATAAGGTTCTGTGTGCAGAGAAGCTTTGAGAATTGGAACTTGTCTCACTAGGTGATAAATATTTTGCTGCATTTTAAGCTAGCAATTTTTTAATACTCTRGTCAAGTACAGAAGATGGCTTTTGAACTGCTAAAAGAATATTAATGTTTTGAAATATGTGAGAATAGGAACTGTCCTGAGAAATGCTTGTTGAAACTGCCTCCAAAATAAAATCTTTTGGGGAGAGCAAGAAGGAGAGTTAAGTTTGAATGGAAATTTAGAAAACGAAGGAAAGTTATGCTGTTAAAACAAGTATTCTGTGAATGTGACCTGAGGGTGGTTCATAGAATAATCCAGGTAAGAAAGCATCTCAGGAGGTCTCTAGTTCATTGTGTTCCTTAAAGGCTAGTCAGCGAATTGATTGGAGCAGGTAAATCTGGGCTTTATCTGGCATGATCTTGAAAACCTGCAGGGATGGAGGCTCCATGACTTTTCTGGACAGATTTCATGGTGATTCCCTGATTTCRTGGTGAAAATATATTTTTCTGATATTCAGTTGAACCTGTTGAAATGTTTCAGTTCATATCCACTGTAAATGTAGTAGTGTAGCATGATAAGGATTCAGGATACTTGTGTTAGGTACATCAGGTCAGCTTATTCAGTTTGTCTTATGGATAGAAAAAGAACGTCTTTTCTGACATTGATTTCAGAAGGTGACCATATATTTATTTATGCATATATGGGTCAATACTGTATAGACGAAGCTAGGAATTATAAGGGAGATCAAAGAAACAGTAGAACTTTCCAAAATTAGTGAATATTCTGTAGATTGAGTAGAAAATTCAGATAATAAAATTTGAATCATCTATCATCAATTATATGATATCCCAGTAAAGTGAACTCACTATCGTAATTGCAGGGCCTCTGTACTGAAAATTACAAATGGGATTGGACATTCATCTAATGATTCAATTTTATCATTGTGATAAGAGGTGGAAAGTCTTGTGTGATCTTACGCTTTTCAGGTTTAAGTCAGATTTTAGATTAAATACAAGATTTAATGTGGGCAGGTAGCTTCAGAGCTGTCAATTGTGGAATCCCTCCTATCTTGCTGTTGGGTAGGAAGCTGGATTTAGACCAATTTAGACATCGACTAGTAACGACATTTAGTAACGACTTCCCATAGTCATTACTAAAACATTAAATTTTTTTTGCTAGGTTGAATTGATGAGTACCAAGAGTTTTGAGAGAAGGAAGCATAAACGTAGAGAGACTTACAGAAGTTGAAAACTATCACCAGCTGTTCCATTCTGCTGCCTGTGTCCAGACAGTAGCCAGTTCAGAAAATAACTCTGCTGTTACTGTGCTGTCCTCTGCGAGCTTCACGTTTCATAGTGTTAGCRGCATCTGAAAGGGGCTTGCTCAGTGACTGATAGAGAGTAGTTCATCTCACTGTATGAATAATGCTTCCTGACACTCTGAGGACCACACTTAAAGAATTTTTTTGATTAAGGCAAAACTACCTTTCTTGTATGATAGAATAGTTGCCTTAGAGTTGATATTAAAAAATGTAGTTGTTGCACACAGTTTCAGAAAGTTGCCAGTGCTTGAAATTTATTTGCGCTGGTGCCTTTTTCCATTTGTAGCATAGTAATAATGAAGAAATAGGCACTCCTTTCCAATCTCAAGGAGAGGTTGTTATCTAGGGTGATCTCTCTCTATTCCCTCATCTGTAAATCCATTTGGAATCTAATCTGTGTTGTGGTCATATTACAATAAATTTGTGATTTTTTTCTTCCCTTACAGATACAGAGCTTAAGGGAGATTGTTTTCTTCCTCTTCCACGAAGAATACCCTAGTTTATACTTTATTTTTCCTCTTTGATCTTCGGAGATTTGGATAATCTGACCTTTAGGAATCCTTAAAGCCTTCCTTTTCTGCCAGATAGGAGCAG